TTTTTTTTATTGTTTATTTAATAAATGCAGTTACAATAGCTACCAAGGCAAATAACGAACAATCGAAACTTTTTATTTATTTTTCTTACACAATGATATGAAGTCAATATTTCTTGTTGAAATCTGTAGAAGGACCTTCCATGAAAAATGTTGAACTTTGGAGATGATTGAAGGAAGTTTCAGCAAGTCAATTTTATCATGACGGTTTGCTGCTTTGGGTGAATAGCTTGCTTTAATATTCAATTAAGATTTTGTTTGACGATATCTATCAAGTGCTCTATTTATGTGATGCTCGAAAGTAGAACTCGTTCTAATTTCGAACAATAGAACAAAATGTCTCTATGTATTAGTGCTGTGCTTGCAAAATCAAGGATTCATTGTCTTTTAATTGAAGCGAGCACTTATAGTTGTATCTCAGAAATATTCTAAAAACTAATATCTTCACTCTCAATAAAACAATAAGTAACTGAATACTTGATTTTGAGCAACGAAAGACGATGTTACACTACTCATTATTATTCTAGATATTTGTAGTTGTTCTCAAGAAATCGAATGAAATATGTTTGATGTATATTTTATTACAATCGATCATTATGAAAAATCCAGAGAAAAAACTGCTGACTATATGAAGTAAATCAATAGGTTGAGAAAATATAAAAGAAAGGCACTACCAGGTTCAGCAGATGAGAGGAAGAATCTGATTACTAAGTAATGTTCGTTAGTTTTGATGATGATTGATAGTACTGTTGCGTTTGTACCATATGTCCTACAAAGAAAACAAAGCTGTTAGTACAATCTCTGCAGCGTTTAAGTGACAAATTTCTTCGTCGTCCTTTTAATTTTTCAGGCATACAATAAAAAAATGGTTCATATATTGTATAGAGACGTCTTTGAATATACAATCTGTAATCATACATCGAAAACGTCTGCCACAATGAATAATAGTCTTTGGCTAACATCTATCACGTTCATGTGAATTGGGGAGGGAAAGGTTGAAGATTTTACCCCTATACTTGAAAATGTATTTTAGATCGTGTTTCACGAAAGTACTAAATTAATTCAAGATCCTAAAATACTACAAATGATAATAACCTCATAGAAGAAAACATGACTAATGAAACGAATTATTAGGGCATTCTGTTGATGGACTATGAACAACATTATATCGGTTCAACTTATCTGGCGTAAACATCCTATTCAAATATACTTCTCACTTGAAAGAAACAATTTGGGTTCATCTGTAAAGTTCATCCAATAGAACATTGGATTTTTTAAACTAGTTGTTTTCACCTGTCTGTTTTTTCAAGGAGAAATGAAAAAAAGAGTATAAATATATATCTATCAATTACTATTCGATAGACTATTTTTTATTTTGACTTCTGTTTATTACAGTAGCAATATATATATAAAATTTCTGCGAGAAAGTTTACATTTCTGTGGAAAAAAATCCATTTTTACTAGAATTCAACCTTACAGGAAGAAAGTAATATAATTCTAATTGACTGGATTGATTGTAGAAAATCTTGTGATTCTTATGGGAAATGAAGAATAAAGTATTTTATAAGAATTTGAAGTTCGAATTCATTCTTAGAGTAGTTGAAAATATTGGTTGGTCTATTGATGGTGATAAAGACTTCAAAACTAGTCTCAATTCAACAAATATCGATCTCACATGAGAGAATTTTTTTCGTTTTTTCTAACGAAAAACGAATAATTATCAGTGTCATTTTGATCTTTACATGAACGTATCTACCTTCGTACAAGATCGGTTCTCTTCAAGTTTGTAATGACAGTAACTCAGACTAAGACATAGTTTTTGTGAAAGTTTGATCTTGCGATAACATTTCGTTATGGAGATACGATTGTATTACTGAAATTTATTAGTTGTGAAAGTCAAAATTTTGGTGCAAAAAAAATAGTTCCGATTTCGCTCGTATTTCTATGTACTTCTACGAATGCCAGAAAATATTCACAGAAGAATAAAAGTGTAAAGCATTCGACGGTCTATCCAACTACATATGACACAATTTTTTCATAGTATGAAATCTTAAAAAAAGTGGATGATTCTTTTGAAAATCATACTAAACAAAAAGTTTTCCTGTTTTTGCATCAATTTAATACAAATGTATTTTCACTGTAACTTCTTCTCAATAAAGCATATAAAACTGGAAATTTTAAGATGAATATATCTCATTTAGTTATATTATAAACCAAATTTCATTGACTTAGGACAACGTTTTCAAAAACGATTGTGGCCTTTTTCTATTTTAAGGTAGTTGATAGCAATATCTTTTGCAATGATCTTGACATTGCTATAATGAAATGTCATACGACGTAGTGATACAGATAATTCTTTGTTTAATAGATTTTTCTTTTATGATTATTAAGCATTTAGTAAAACTATTAATAGCATCAATAGATGCTGCAGACAGCGTTATATAGTAAACAATTTTTCACCTATAGTAAAAAAGATGCCAAACATTGTTGACGTTTGTGTTTTCATCTGTTACGAACACTTGAAGGGCATTTTTCTTGTGATGATAATAAATTCGACTATGGTTTTGATTGCATGTGGAGATGATAAATGTAGGCTTCGCAGCAGGTGATTACATCAAACTAAAGACATACACAACTGATGCATCTCTAGAAATTTCTCACCATATAATGAACAATTATAATCGTAGCAAATACAAAGAATATGCATGCCATGATTCTTGTTGGACATGAAAATCAACAATTCAATTTAAAAAAGGAAAACTTCGTATCGAAAGATTGTGACATCTACTTTAAACATTTGTTCTCGTTAGATCAATGAAATATCTTTTCCATATTTTGCAAGTTGCAAGGCCTTTTTGACTATCGTTGTATCTCCTAATAATTACAAATTCATTGGATGAACAGCTAATTGGTACAAACACTTGTCATCATTAAAAATAGAATAGAAGACAAAATAAATAAGTATTGGTATAATTACTATTGAAGTTTGTCTTATTTAATATTCTCATAAGCATATCGTTTTAGATAAAATAAATATCTTATAAACATGGAGCAAGATAAGGAAGAAACAATTCAGATCAGAACCGGGTGAAAAAACAAAAAATTTCTTCGTGTTTCAGCTTTTGTATAAGACTAATGATTTTTTTATGAGTAATGTAATGCTGATCGGTGTAATTATGATTAGTGCTTCAGGAAACCTTGTCATCGATGTTACACTTCTTAATAAACAAAACAGTCGAACATCGACCAGATATTATTTAATATTTCTCTGTATAATGAATATAATTTGAATTGATTATTGAAATTTAAGTTTATATAGCTTTACGCATCTATAGGAGATGAACAAAAATATTACACATCACACATTTTTTCACCATAAATCACATTGAGTCTTAGGTTGTTTTTCATTATATACATCAGCTATGTTTCTCACTTTAGTATCTTATTTTATTGATCTTGTTTGTTTTCAATGGATTTTTACTTGAATTAAATGTTGAAATATCAATATATAATATCAAATTCAAGAACCAACGACAAAGCAATAACTCGTTTCTATCAAATTAATTATTCTTAGTTAAGAATAAAGAAAAAAAAAATGAAGTCTATTTGTGTAGATCTAACTTTTCATGATATAGTTTGTTCCATTTACTTTAATATTTCTATCCATTAGACTGAGAGAAAAGAAAATAATTGTTTGACAGACATTTATCAATCTATGATTCACATTTAGTGCGCAATTCCATCACTCTAGTTCATTGATGTTGCTATTCATATATTTAACTTTGAAAGTATAGACATAGTGTTTCTTGTTAGTCATATAAGAGTATATACAAGAAATACAGTAAAAATATTCTATTTCAATTTTCTGTCATCCGAATTTGAACAAAATGTACATAAAATACCAAAAAGCTATGTGTTGTCCAGTGTTAATCAAAAATGTTTGAAAATCATTTGAATATTTTACTAATATAATATGCAATAAATTATACTCTATTGTGAATAGTTTTTACTTTACTGATATGATTATAAACTAATAAATTATATGGTATAAAACTCTCGAAGCAAAACCAACGGTCATGTCCAATATTGTTCTTCAAACAATTCGTGAAATTTCTCTTTTCGAAAAGTGTTCAATAGCTATTTAAACCGTTGACGTACTATTGTTTGATTGGTGTCATACAATATTAATATATATTGAAGCAGTAAAAAGAAACAGATGAGTTTAATCAGAAAAAAACCTAAATTAGTTTTTTTTACCACGTTGGTAAAGGATAGTTCATTTAACACGATGTTAAATCGTACAAAAGGTAATAGATTCTAGTCTAAAGAGATTTGAATCAGGAGAAAAGTTTTTTTTATATAGATGTATGGATTTGCTGTTCTTAACAACTATGGTATTTCGATGGATACTACACTACATTAATCTGCTTTTTTCATTTAATAAACGAAACAAAGAAAAAAAAATATGACCTAATGAACTATTTTAATGATAAGAAAAGATAGAAAATTGAAACAGAATACTTCTTTAGATCTTTGATTCTTTTCAAAGAAAATAATTATTACATAAAAAAAGAATTTATTTTAAGAGGATACAAATAGATTATTATTTTCGTATTTTAATATTTGATATTTGGTTTATGATCCCCTAAAAATCAGTGAATAGTGAAATCTTATCGAAGACGTATTTACCTAATGAATATCAAATTAACATAAGTATAATCTTCTCGACCAAGAATGGCATATGAAGAATCTTAATACAAAAAAAAACCTAGATAAGTCTTTTGTTTGTCTTCTCCATGTCCATATTGTCAAAATATAAAGAAAATTATGCCCAACAGAAAAAATATATATATAGGAACAGATAAAGACCTAAAGAAAAATAAAATAGATGACATTAGAGCAGTGAAATAACTGAGAGCGTTAATATTCCTATTAATCGGACAGTAATTTCAACAAGTGCTATAAAGTACCAAAAACGCTAAAAACAAAGGTAAACATATTAAATGGCTAGTTGGGTTCGACAAAAAGACCATGGTTCTTACGAAACGGCTGAATTAATTGTAGGTGGAATTATTCCTATATGTCTTATTGTAATTGGAACTATCGGTAATCTTATATCGATTATTATTTTATTTAACAAAGAAAATTATCGAATATCTACTAATATTTATTTAATATTTCTATGTCTTATGGATACACTTTCACTTTATCAATGGAATTTAAATCAACTTATATATACATTAACAAACGGTACAAAAGACTTCTGGGGACGATCAGTGTTTCTTTGCAAATTGGGTGAATTTTTTGGTTTTTATACTTTACATACATCAGCTATGTTTCTTACCTTTGTGGAACTTGATCGAGCTTGTTTATTACGTAGTAGATGGTATAAAACAAAAATAGCTCAACCACGTGTAGCACTAATCATTTGTGCTATTATTCTACTCGTTCTATTTGCATTGAATGGATTTTTATTTGGTTTAGGTTTTGAATATTCTTTCTATAATAATAGTACGGGCATACAGGAAACATTTGTAGTATGTTATTATTCAATGAATGCAAAGCTCAATGATTTCTTTAATTTTGAATATACATGGGTAAGTATTTAATTAGAAATTCAAGATTGATATATAGTTTCTTATATAGATACATCTTGTAGTCATGTATATTGTGCCATTTATTGTCACCATTGTTTGTACATTGTTCATAGTAAAAAAACTAATGAGCAAACCAACAACTTCAAATCAACAGCTAGCAATTAATGCTCAACGTAATCGTCGTATTTCATTTATGTTATTATTCATGTGTTTGACTTATGTTGTCTGTACTTTACCTAATCGTCTTTGTTTTTCAGTTTTTGAGAATCAGATTATTGGTCATGACTATACAGATACAGTATTTCTTGCAGCGAATACATTAATGTATACAAGAAATGTGTTGAATGCATTTTTTCTTTATGTATCTGTATATGGTTTTCGACGAGAGGTACGCAATTTATTATTATTATTATGCTTTAGAAAACGACTTATTCAGGTGTTACCAAACAATACACGGATTGACAATCAAGTGGGTACAATATCGATCAACCCAAGACCAGCTAAAAGTACAAGGACTATATTACATGTTATAAAAAACTAAAAGTTTCTTCTTATTGTATATGTGTGATATACAGTTAAAGTCTGTTTTTTATGTTATTGTTTTGATCGTCTATTATATGCTTGATAAAGTGCAGACCATAATTACATTATACATATATGTTGCAAATTTTCAAAATAAAATATTTACTGCTACTTTGAGCTAAATTTTTTTATTCAACAATCATAAGAAAAATTTACAGTTTCACTTGTAAACATTAGAATTTGAAACTGTTAATTTCCAATTTCAAATGATAGAAGGAACGTAAAAAGATTTATTAGAGCAATCTTTTTTTTTTCAGTAATTTTTCACTAATTTTTGGAAGCAATATCGATGAGAAGACATTTTAAAAGGTCATTGCACGTAAACTATGACCGTCATTACAGAAAAAGCGCTTAATTGAAGTCGACAGAACTCTCTTCGTTTATTATATGTTGTAGAGGAAAGAATTTTATCCATTTTCTTCAAACGGTTTCAAAAATATTGGAATATGAATATTTAATGCTTTTTTTACGGACAGCAATAAAAATCTGAACATCGAAGCAGCTATTTTAGTAAATTTTCATCTCAAAATGTTGTACTCATGACATCTTATGGATTTCATAAAAGAAGCGAAAATTAGAATTCCCGGTAACTATCAAAATTCACATCTGATGAATAGAGCACGGTATCAATTTTAAAATGGCTAACTACTACTTATACCAGTAAAGATTTGACTGGTAAAAGTTTCAGTTTTCTAGCACAGATATAGGGAAATTTTGATGTTGATATTTAGAAGTTAGAAGCTTTCTCTGAAACCCACAATATCCTATTAGCAGTAGCCAAGAACAAGTACAGTATATAAAGGCAAAGTCGTGGGTATTATTAGACAATAATCTTAAGCTTGGAATTCTAATGAATGATACTATATGGAGTTTCAAATCCTTAAAAGATGAATAACACTTGTAAGACTTGTATCGAATTATTTTTCATTTATAAATCACATTCGATACTTTACAACCTTAAATAAGTGGTGCTGAACAATAATTCCTCAATGAACAATTTATTTTTTTGATTGCATCTTTCTATGTATAGAGTCGGCGTAGAAATGCAGTTTGCCCGTATCAGAATGCTCGACAATTCTTGAATTTAGATGAGATTGTAGACTTTCGAAAGAACTTCTGTTTCTGAATATCAGTATCGAAACCACTTTATCTTTTGCGAGAAAAGTTCGTCTCAAAACCATGGCTTTCATAAAAAAATTCACTTTTGAGAAGGATCTCCTGCATGGCTACAAAATAATAGGAAATCAAACCTTTTACTAGTATACCTTTTTTTACTAATACAAGTACCAGTAAACACTTCAGCTTGATATTGCACTCCAATCGTTAGAGATGAAATCTGAAAGTTGCCTGAAATACATATCTTTGCTTCTTTTATGAAACCCAGTAAATGTTATGGGTACAATACTAGGGGCTGACAATTTGTTTCTGAGTACAGATTATCAATATAAAGATCTGCTGAGATATTCAATGCAATGAAACGACTCAATCTTAAGGTATAGAGTCTACAAAAATTCTTCAATGTTCGAGATTTTAGTACTGTTCATGAAACAATCATTAAACATACAGGTTGCAATATTTATGAAAGCTGCTTGTCTCACAGCATGTCATAAATGGAGCAAAATATATCAACTTCAATTCAGTATTTTATCTGTAATGACGGTCGTGACTTAGTTAGTTGATAAAGAATTTCTTCATAGTGATCACGTACCATCAGTCATTCAAATACTACCTTAGTGGTCAGAAACTTCCGAAAACAGGTGTAAACGGGTACAAATAATGGAATTACACAACATGTACATATATCCCATTTAATATTTTCATTTTTCAGCGATTTTTGCGAACACTTCCTTAGACACGCGTTTAAACACCCAAAACATCAAGGTTTTGAGTGTTTATGCGCGTTTTCGTGAACTCTTGTCAGCCTGAGTAGTATTCATTCAAAATTATTATTCATGATTTCATATAAATTTCAAGAAGTAATCAGAAGTTTTTTATTTATCAAATGGTACCATTTTCAGAATACAATCAGATTTTACATACATTCCAAAATTCTTAAAAGAAATAATATTGTAGTTACTATTTTACACTATAAATTTATTTGGAATTTAATCAACATGTGCTCGGAAAATCTGTAAATCATCTAATAATATCAATGTTTTAGTGAATTATAGTATTTTTATTGATTCGTCTATATTACTAATTAGAAATCTTCTTTAATTCATTTCATTTCAGATTAAAGACTTCACTTCTCAATTATAGGCAAACAAATGTTCGTCTTACTTTTATATCAAGACATAATTGTAGACTCTTCAAACAAAGAAGACTTGAATAATAGCAATAAACAATTAATCATAATAATGCAATGCAATAGCATTTTACGACTAGGAATCATTGAGCATTTTTATTTGGTACGGTCATCATAAGCTCTAAAGACACCACTTGTGACTATAGATGTTATTATTTTAAGTCTTCTTCTTTTAAAACCTTCCTATTTTGTTATTGCAAACTTATATGCTTGAATATATAATTTAAAAATTTAAAGAAATACTTTTATATAGTACTTAAGATTATATCCATTAGCCTATACTTATAGATTAGTGTGTGTTATAGATAAAAATCGATTTATTGTTGTTGTAGTTTTTGATATTCTAGCTATTATTATTTCTTGCGTAATAAATAGTTAATTTAAAGTCATAAGTGATGTCTTTAAAGCACATGATGACCGTACCCAAAAAAGGGCAAGAACAAAATTAACTTACGACAACGACACTTAACATGTGGTTATTATGACAAAAGATCTAGTTTGTTTTAACTGTTAAGAAAATAATAAGTATGTTCATATAACATCGTAGAATTACAAGTTGATTAGTAAGACTCCCACAATTATTAACAACTTATCGTATCTCACTATCGATTCCATGGCAGATGCTCCCCAGATAGATGCTTCCGCGACAGTTGCTCCCCAGACACTTGCTTCCGCGACACCGGTTCCACAACGACACTTGCTTTCGCGACAAGGATGTGGGTGTGAATGGACAAAGAAGTGACGAACATTCACAGCCACCACAACTTCCACACTCACAACCGCCCACAGTCAAACTCGCAATCACATTCACACCCACACTCACATTCGCACTCACACACACTTACCCACACCTACCCACATTCACACTCCCACTCACGTCCACAGTCGCACTCGCATCCACACTTGCATGCACCCATATCCACACTCGCACCTATACTCACATCCATATCCCTGTTGCGGGAGCAAGTGCCACTGGGGAGCAACTGTCGTTGGGGAACAACTGTCGCGGAAGCATCTGTCTGGCGAGCAACAGTCGTGTTGTCCTCACTATCACATAATCACAGATATTAATCGAACACTGAGATAAAGTCCGAAGAATATCATTTATCATTTCACACAATAATGTGACAAAAAGAATATGTCAACTATGAATAGAACTTTATTTCATATTTTTAGACACTTTCAAAGTATATGTGATTTAATAAAATTTCTGTTATTCTGTAGTCAATGAAGTGTCTGGAGTTTTTGAAATTTCCAAAGTTTTCAAAATCACTTGTTTTGAATTTATGTCTGATTCTTAAAGAAATAAAAATAACAAAAATTATGATAATTCACTTTTTTTAGAAATCTGAACATATTTTAAGTTGAAGGCCGTATTGCAGACTACAAAGTCTCCAATTGTTTTGTCAGAAACTGTCGACCATACTTTTGTTCTTGTCGATAGGAAACGACCCGAAATAATTGAAAAATCTGGATATGATGCTTTTGCCGCAACATTCAGCTCGATTTAATTGAAATCTGCTTGATTACTCAGTGTAGAATTATCAAGCTAGCTAATAAGTAGTTCAGAATACTAATTAAGGAAGAAAAGTGGACCTTGAACCACACGTTCGCAGGGCAGATTAAAAGTGCAATAGCATGCTACGAACTCATCGTTCTAGTCATGTAAATAATTATATTTTCCTATGATATTTTTTCAAGCAATTGAATTGCTTCATGATTTCTCTTTGAACTTTTTCGAAAGTTTTGTTCAGTCATTCTGATTTCTTAAGTAAAATCTCTTAATGAGCACAAAAAGATCTAATTGTCTGTGTGAAAATCACCAAGACAAATGAAAAGTTAAATAGAAAGCTATGAAGAAATTTGACAGAATACATATAATTGGTTACATAATTATAGCGATGAGTCGATAGTACATAATCAACGTTGCTCTTCTAAAATATTCCAAAACTCTACGGTCTAGGATCGGTCCTTACTCATTGATTCATACTGCAAAGTATTGAATACTATTCATGAAAATACAAGATATTTCATAAGTTATGAAACTCAACAAAGTTTATTCGAATGCAAAGAGAAAATAATATCTAATTAAATGTGACTCTAGAAGATTTGAGTATTCATGTCTACATGCCAAATAACATAATACTGGGTGGCATGCTTTCTTTTAATACTAGAAATATGAACAAAACAATATGATGATTATTTTGTCAAAATTGAGAAGAAGAAGACTATCAGATACGTAGAGATAATAATTTGACAAAAAAAATATCTTGTTTTACTACGACGCATGTATTATCCACTACCGTTTTTTTATAGTTTGTCAAGTATTTTAGACTAAAACTAAAAATTGGTCTTCTCGTATTTTTTCGTTCAATACTTTTAATAAATTCTCAAATTTTTCATCATTCAACTTCATAATAGACCTATATTTTATAAGACATTTCGTCTACTTAATAAGTGAGTTTGTTGTAAATGTTCAGTTTTTACGCAGGCAAAATTTACTATAAAATATGGATTCATTAAGAAGCCTCTTCAACACTGTTTTGAGATAATATTCAAGCAATTAATAATTCATCAGTGATTGGCAATGCAATCTCTGCTCTTCGCTTTTATTCTGAATTTAGTATGATCAACTGATAGGTGGCTCATGATAGTTCTCAGTTAAACGATTAAGATAACTACTTAACGATTCCTGCTATGATTTTTATTTTAATATCAGATATGTTCGCCGCTATTTTTCAAATTCTAAAATGAAATGTTGCTGATAAATTTGACAAAAACTGATCATCAAATTCTTATTTTTTTTCTTTTTATAATTAGAAGAAAATATGTCATCCAATATAATGTCACTTGAAACATCAACGGCAGATTCAATTTCATGTAGATAAATTTAGTTAGCAACGATTCCGTATTCGTATATAAATTAATAGTGTTGAATTCCATAACATATGAAACATCCTCTATGTAAATTAACTCGTTCGAGTTTCTCGACACCCGAAATAACTGAATCTAAAGTTTCTAGTTTGTTCTCGAGTTCAACATAGGCTAAATACACATAGAATGAGCTATGAAAAACTATGCAATAAAACTTGGGATACCTACACTTTGATTCTATTAAACAGGCTCAGAGTGTTGTTGACGAAAGAGAGACAATTGAATTTTTTCTTTTAGACTAATAACATAAATAAATACCGCTTTGAAATACTATTATTGGCTTCCCTAAAGATATTAAATCTATCATTAAATAAGAAAAAAATGCGAAGCCATCCATAGATAATATTCAGTTGTCATTTAAGACTGACGAGAAAAACTTCAAATACACTTTATTCATGGCTGTCATATTGATGTACATAAAGAGAAATTTTAGAATTATCAATAGTTTTAAAGTTCGAATTCATATATAACAATTTAAATGTATAGCTAGTATATCAACTTTATTGCAAAAATCAATATTTCGTGTTTGAAAATTTTGATAGATTATAATCGCTAACTTTTAAACTAAACTTTAAAAGCTTTTCTTTCTCTCTGCGGATTCATAAGTAACCCTGTATATTTATTTATATAATAGATACTATATTTAATCTTAATCAGAGTTTAATTATGAACAAATATTTCTCATATATGAATGAATTCCTTTTACTTAGTAAGACATGATATTTCACCGGATATCAATCTTCATTCTGCTTTTCATCATTTAATAAACAAATTAAAGAAAAAAAACATGACTTTATCAATTATTTCAGCGAAAAGACACAATAGAAAAATAAAAACAGGATGTCCACAAATCCTTGAATTTTTTCAAAGAAAATATATTAAATGAAATAATAATCTTAACACAATAGAAGTAGACATTATATTGTGGTTTTGACTCTGCTGGAGTTTAACTGAAGAATTTAATGAAAGACAATCGTTTCAAGATTTCAATATTTTTTAAGAATATCAAACGCATTGAAATCTAAGCCTTGTACTGAAAAAATAACATTCAGAAAACTATATTAAATACATAAAATATAACTGCGCATTAGAATAAAAAGAAATGAGAATTTTCTTTTTTTTTATGTCTCTTGCAATAGAAAAGATAGGATTGGATAAGATATTTAACAAAATTGCCGGTAAAAAAAAAGACTGAAAAAACTATAGAAAAAAAATAGATATATTAGAAGATCAGTTAGTTCAAAAAATTGTTTGTCATATACATTATATAGTTTATATATCAGTAAACATCAAATGGCTTCATGGTATCGAAGAGAAGATCCATTTCCTTATGAAACAACTGAATTAATCGTAAGTGGCATTATACCTATGATTCTTATTGTAATTGGGACTTTCGGTAATCTTATATCTGTGATCATTTTACTTAATCAACAAAATCGTGGAACATCAACCAATATCTATTTGATATTTTTATGTCTTATGGATACAATATCACTTTATCAATGGAATTTAAAACATGCTGTATATACAATTACAGCTGGTAGACAAGAAGTATGGGGAGGATCAGTACTTCATTGTCAATTGAGTCAATTTTTTGCTTTTTACACTTTACATACATCAGCTATGTTTCTCACTTTTGTACAACTTGATCGAGCTTGTTTATTACGTAGTAGATGGTATAAAACAAAAATAGCTCAACCACGTGTAGCATTAATCATTTGTGCTATTATTCTACTCGTTCTATTTGCATTGAATGGATTTTTATTTGGATTAGGTTTTGAATATTCTATCTACAATAATACTACAGATAATCATGAAACATTTGTAGTATGTTATTATTCATTGATTCCACAACTCAATGATTTCTTTAGTTTACATTATGCATGGGTAAGTACATAATTAGAAATTCAATATTGATATATAGTTTTTTATATAGATACATCTCGTAGTCATGTATATTTTGCCGTTTTCTGTCATAATTTTTTGCACATTGCTCATAGTGAAAAAGCTGATCATTAAACAAACATATACAAATAATCAATTAGCAATCAGTGCTCAACGCAATCGTCGTATTTCAATAATGCTTGCACTCATGTGTTTTACTTATATTATTACCACTTTACCTAATCGTCTTTGTTTTTCAGTTTTTGGGAATCAGATTATTGGTCATGATTATGCAGATACAGTATTTCTTGCAACGAATACATTAATGTATACAAGAAATGCGTTGAATGCATTTTTTCTTTATGTATCTGTATATGGTTTTCGACGAGATGTCCGTCAATTGACGTTGACATGTTGGAAAAAATTAACAGGAGAAGATGTTCTTCAGGAGAACAACGGTAATGTTGGCACAATTATGCCGCTTCGTGCACCAGCTAGAAGCGCAATTACTACAATGCCAATCAAAAAAACTACTCATTGATGAACATAAATTTTGTTTCATTAACTTATCTTTTGACATTTTTCTCTCTTTTCTCAATGTTCTGTAATACATTTTTTGAATCACTTGTAACGTCATCGTGAGTTTTAATATTACTGATGTCTTATACCAGCTATATATTTTTCTGTCATTAAATTGTCTCATTTGATAGACCTTTTTTTTTATTTGGGATGCTATGTTCATCATGCAATGATAAGCCATAAAATGACATTTTATTCATAATTAACACAGGTGTCTGCATTTAGCATTACATGAGAAATGATAAAAATAAGTTGGACTGCTAATGATGTGTAGCTCAAGGTTAAGTGTCTTGACTACGGATGATAATAAGTGATGTGACAAGAATAGATATTAAGGTACAAGGTCAAATCTTTCATTACGCTTCTGCCTTCGAGCGTCGCCAAATCCTTCTTTTTTTTTCTATTATAAATGCAAAGAAAAAGGAACCAAATATTCAATGATCAATATTCATTTCAATATGATTTCTTTTAGAATGATGCTATAGAAAAGCAATAATAATCCTAACATACGAATTATAATCAGAAAGTATATGGACTATACACATCTGAAAAACCAATAGGATAAAAATCATTAACCCTGATAAAAAAAAGACTGTTTAAACCTCATTTTTTTAAAAACTCTTGTTATTAATATCATAATGAACGTAGTCTACAGCGACACAATGGACTTTGATCTTTAAAAAAACCTCTGCTACTAGGTTCCAATAGTAGAATAAAGTAATAATTCATCTGAGGAGATATCTGATTGAGTTGTGTTAACAATTAAGAGGATATAAATAGGTTCATAAACACGGCAACTAAACACAAGACAATGAAACGATTGACTCAACTGCAAGATAATATGGACAATTCGGATGATGTTACGCTCTAATTTCACTCTGATCTATCTAAGTATATTATAACTTCAACTCGGTTTCAACTTAAATTACAAGATTTTTAGAGATCTTACTGCAGCTCTAACTTAAAAAAATTATGATAATTCGATCTTATCTTAGAAAGTTGAACGAGAATCCTTAATATCAATCTACAGTCCTGCACGCGTCGGACTTTTCTTAATCGAACAACATCTGGACCCAAAGTTGTGCCCAATACCAGATAGGATTCGAAACAAAGTTTACTAGCATTCAGCATGTACTTTCACACTCGTAATACAGTTTTTAAACTTTTACTTTGAATGAAAACAAAACTATTGTTTCGTTTCTTCCATATAAGAGTTGCAAAAAAAAAGAGACCATCTAAAATTCCATAAAGAAGCAACCGCTTCACGATATAATTGGTCTACTTCTGCCTCTCAGATCCCATGAATTCCACTGAAGATACCACTGCTTGTTGCACATACTGCTGCAATAGAACTCACGAAAGAAGTCAACCAACTGATCAATTGCTCTTCATTCAAGACTTTGTGCAACATATAATCACTAATGAGCCATTAGTACCGACATACTGCATTTTGATATAATATTTTACCAAAATGCTATAGCTGTCCCCAGAAAAGACAGAAGAACTAATGCCAGAATTTCAACATAAGCTATGCATAGAAGTAAGCCTTAGCAAGATTAGTTCATTATGAAGGTTTCAGATCGCTTGATTTGATCCCATTCTGAAATAAAAATATCGAGTCTGTTCTCCTAAATCAGAGATCTGAAGGACACGCTTTCACTATAGACGTATCTGAAGATGGGAGCAGCGAAAAGATCTGAAACATTCTCAATAAACTAATCTTATTAAGATCTAAATCTATACAAAGTTGTTTCTGAGGAAGATCATTGCTTTCTGATAAATTACTCTATAAATATGTACCATCTCGACAATTATAAACTATCAATCTGGACTCTATTTAGGTTACTCATACCTAATACAGGTCTATATGATGCCCATAGTCTCGACTCAAAAGCGATTGATCACTTGGATGCCTATCCTTGTTGCCTAATCTCAATATACATCCAAAGCTGTCTAAGGTTTCTACTAAGACACTATGTGGTATCTATAGACAAAACATGAATTGAAATTTGAAGGTGACATATGCGAAGGTTTTCTGATTAGTCTAATAATATCAATAATGTTGCTATGTCTCGAAAGTATGTTAATCATTTGCTTCAAACCTACAGAAAAACAAACTGAATTTCAATCAATTTCAAAAAGCATTATTTCGCTTGATAATAACCATCCAATTCGGAGAACAGTTTCTTACTACTGATTTCTAATCAATAACTCAGAGAATATCTAAAATGGTCATTTTCCATATTTTCAGCATTGTTTACAGTACGGAGAAGAATTTACTAGCAAATCATCATCATTTTATTATACATATCTAATTGAATATCAAATTCTAGAAGCACTTTTCAAAAAAGAAACAGAAACTTGACCAATAGTTTATATCGTTTCAAAAATATTGTAACTCAATTAAAACTTGCAAATATGTTGGTCTACTCAATATTACATATATTATGTTGTGTGCTATTCGTTGATTACGAGTCCATCGCAAGTAACAGTATTTGTTGAAAACAAAGAATACACTTTAAAAACAAAAAGTATTCATGAATAAATATAAGCATCTAGTTATACATTTTTAAACCTCAACTTTTTTCAATCTCATTGTTGTATTTTGTGTTCTTTAATAGATTGTATTTATACGAGGTATACAATGTATACAAAGACAAAATACCAGATTAAAAATAATCAATCATCGTTTATGAATGAAAAGACTGACTTTGACTTTCCAATAAAATTAAATTATCATCATTTAAATGAAATCAATCAATAACTAATACTGAGAAAATGATACCTATTTTATTGATTTCGAAAAGTTTAGAAATCGAATTATTCAAAAAACCAAAATGTTAAAGGATAATTTTCCTCCTCTTATATTATTAATAGATGATAACTTCTTATATTAATTTTCAACATTTACTGATTAAAGAACATTCTGATTAGGTAAAGCTAACGAGGAAGTGTCATCAGCTGTTCAATCGTTTATGCGCTGAGACTATGTGCATTCTGTCGGTTCAAATGAGTTATGAATACCCTGAAAAAAAGTTCGGATACTTAGCTTATTGCTATGGAGATACTACACATTTACAGTATTTTATATTGCATCCCGTGTATCTTCTCAGCAATACTAGAAAAACTGATGTTCGAATTTCGACTTGAAATTTTACATAAAAACAAGTCTCAACGAGAATAGTTATTTGTGAATTTTTCAGATCTTGTTGGTGTTCTTATCTACAGATACAACTGTGGTGATAATGTGTCTTTTCCATCCTTAAAAAAAACAAGAAGAATTGATGCTCTTATTGCATGATAAAAACAAATCAAAAGATCTAAAATATTCAGAAAAAACCTATTCTTGTTAAGGACTGTATCTATATATAGTTTCAAGTCAAAATTCGAACATCAGTTTTTCTTGTATTGCTGCGAGAATGCGCGGTATTCAATAAAAAAACACTGTAAAAGTGCAGTATCTCCGTAGCAATAAGCTAACCATTAAAACATTTTTTCAGAATATTTATAGTTCATTTGAATCGACAGTATGCACATAGTCTCAGCGCATAAACGATTGAACATTTGATGGCTCTTTCTCATTAGCTTTGCCTAATCAGAATGTTGTTTAATAAGCAAGTGTTGAAAATCCACGAAAGAAGTTATCGGCTATTAAAAATCTAAGAGGATGAAAATTATCCTTTAACATTTTAGTTTTTTTGAATAGTTCGATATATAAAATTTTCGAAATCAATAAAATAGGTGTTACTTTCTCAGTATCAGTTAGTGATTGAGTTCATTTAAATGATGACAATTTAATTTTATTGAAAAGTCAAAGTTAGTCTTTTCATGTATAAACGGTGATTGATTATTTTTTATTTGGTATTTTATATTTGTATACATTATATACCTCGTTAAGGCTGATCTCTGTGCTTAGTTTCAAATCGAAAATCGAAAATCAGATCTTCTGGTGTTCCTGGAGTGAACCTCAGCATTTCGATATAATATACCGTAAAAATGCAGTATCTCGGTAGTAATAAGATATTAGTCGAGACTCTTTTCAGAGTATCAGTAGCTCATTAGAGACTACATGTTGCACATAGTTTTGAATAAAAGCGATTAATCAGTTTGTTGTCTTTCCTTGGAAGTGTTGATGCGAACCTACTAAAGAATCAACACATGCATGAATGCCTTCTCTATCACGTTAATATATGTTCACCTTTTGCCTAGTTTATTTTGATCTTCAAATATTCAATCACTTTCTCATATGTTTCTGCAGTAATTGTGGATGAGTTTTCATGAAATATAATTTCGTTAGTAAAATAGTTCCATTATGTGTTTGTATGACCTGTTCTCATGTACATTAACTCAATCAGCAATGATTGAGCCGTTTTCATCACAGTGGTTTTATATAGAGAAGTAGTTCGGAAAAATAAAAGTATTTTACCGCATTAAGAACTCATATTTGGCCAACTTGGGTACCAAGTATAATCTCAAATCCGAACTTGATCCAGTCGCAGGACACTATTCCAATTAAAAATCAACTGCAACTCTTCAATTATTTTTGTAATTCCACTTTAATAGTAATTAAAATGTACTCAAACCCGCTTGGCTATACGCAAAGTACAACTGAAATTCATGGTTGAAACCACCTGTCTCACAATTAATGCAGCATGATTAATGTTGTTCTTTTCGCTGTGAATGTATTTGGCAAACTCTAAGGTGTTATCAGTTCTATCATTCCTTTATCCGATGTTATATTGTTTCTCTTATTTTTTATCTTTTCTTGTTCTGATGCTATATATTTTGTTACGTGCTGTTAAATATAGCTCAGAAAATAAATGTAAATGTTACTTTCTTCTTTTATAGTACCCATTTCTTTCTAAACTACCGACAGAGGAGTATCAATATATAAGAGAATAATCGTGAATAAGAAGAAAGAAGAAAGTGAAGATGAATGAGAATAAAGTTTATTTCTATGAA